GTTGGATTCCAACGTCCCCTTGATGCGAACCTTCCACACGTCTAGCAAGTTAGCTTTGTCCTGCCATTCCTTCACGTGCTGCGCAAGTTGGCTTCGTCTTGGTGCCCATAGAAATTCACCCAGACTGGAAAGTTGGGCCAAATTCCGCCCAAGATTTCAGTCTGACCCAAATTACCACTCCTCCCTATGCATAGTTGGAGAAGGTTTTCAGGGCTACAATCCTAAAATTTGGGTTTGGCCCTCATAGTTGGAGATGGTCTAAGCATTTGCCTCATGAATAAAGTTGGTCACCCCAAGGGACTAAGCAATGTAAGTGTACAAATTGAGCCAATTTGTTCACTTTGAAGTAGGCAATATTGAGTTGTTGGGAAGAGCAGGCATATTTTGCCTACCCATTTGCCTCTTCCCCTAAAGGCAAGCCAAATGAGGTTTGCCTACTATTTTGCCTCTTCTTTTGGAGATGTTCTTAGCCGTGACACAACAATGCTGTAAATGCGTCCAAAAGTTGTGGGGCCTAATTGTCAAATTCCTCACTCAGCATGTGCCTTCATAATTATCATATGGCTCAATGGTTCAAGGTTCAAACTAAAGAAAGCAACATCCACAAACTTTTACTTCCCTTTAATTTTTATTGACTTGTTGCCTTAAGTCTAAACCAACCCTAAACCCTATATTCTGGAATAATTCCAGTTAAATTTGGTCTTAATTTGCTATTACAACTAGTTTAATTACCAACTGAACCTTTTGCATCATAAATCTAATTAGATGCCTTTGATGGGATTATGGCAGACACTCACAATCAAGTTGTATGTTTGGTGTCCATGCTTCACAAAAAGCAAAATCTCTGGGAGATTTGTGATCATTTGTCATGCTCATATCTTCCATCATTATGCTACTTTGATTTGATGTACCAAGAAAAAGCAAAAGTGAGATGAAATAGCAGGAGCACAATTATGGCTTTTAATTTAACAATACCATCTTTCTGAAATTTGGTTACCATAATTTGGAGATTCTAAATTGATCTCCCATTAATTTCACATCAACTACAGAATTTAGAGCAGCTAAATGCTGAAAGAGATATAGATTCAAGTCTCCATCCAACATATATATGCTAAATCAAACAAGTTAGGATTTTTCATTTCTAAGACTGGGTGGTGTTTGAAACAATTTTCAAACTGAGGCATTGTGGCCATCCATTTCATGCTGCTACCTTTGCATGTGTGACAGTGTGAAAAAGATGGGCAGCCTTAGAAAATCATGTAACTAAAAAGTAAAAAAGCAGTTTTGGTCAATGCAGAACAAGCTTTTGGTACTTGGTGATGGGTGAAGAATCAGAACCAGGCTCATCACAGTGCACCAGGCTTCTCTTGTTGCTGAAACAGCTAATGTCACTGCTAATGCAAGAGTCTTGGTGCAGAAGACGCTGCCGCGTTGGGGGGAAGATTGCAACCGGTGGAATCTCAATGGATTTGAGCTGGGGAGGAGGGTGCTGCCACTGAGGCAGAGGTCCAGCCAGGAGAAGGTTTTGAAGGAGTGGTCCGGCTTCGATTACTGCTTGCAGTAGCTTCCCCTTCTCCGGCAATACTAATGGCTTCTCAGCTCCCAATTTTGAGGCAGCTTGTGGTTGTGGCGACAATGGTTGTGGGATCGTAATTCGGTCTGAATTTGGTGATGCAGTGATGGTTTCATCAGAGTCAGAAGAGGCAAAATGTTTGTTGTTTGAGTCCCTGCCTTTTGATTCAATATCCTCATTTTGTGCAGCAACTACTTCTTGATCTTGTTGTTGTTGCTGTTTTTGCAGCTCTTGTTGGAGCATGAGCTTGTCCAAAACTAGCCTTCGGCATTTTGCTTGAGCCTCATCTCTCTCTTGGACGGTTCTGCTTAGGAGATCTTTGAGCTGAACAAGTTCTTCTTCTCTCTTTGAAATCTTCTCCTTCGCTGACAAAATTGTTGTCTCAAGCTCCAAGGTTGTGCACAGAAGAGAATGCTTCAACTCTTGTATCCCCTGCAGCCAAATCAAGAAAATAAATTAGACATGTTCATAAAAGAAACTAGCAGAAAGGGCCAATTGGGTCTTTTTCAACTTGAGAAAACAGAATTTCAGAAACTTGACAAGAATCAAATACCTCTTCCTGATAGCAAAGTTCCCAAGGACTGCACTGAACTTCCATTAGTTGCAAGGATGCAAATGGCAGAGGCTAAGGCAAATGTTGGTGGTGGCTTACAAGTACTTGGTTTCTGCTCCCTTTCCTTCGTTTTTCTCTCCTTATCTTTCTCTTCATTCATATGAGATATGAAAGTTGAACAAAACACAAAAGGCCAAAAGCATTTATAGAAAGGTCAATTGCGCGCCAAGTGCATTCTTTGTACCCTATAAATGTACACGAGGACTAAAAAAATTGTAGGAAGAAATCTGAAATTTGCAGTGAGACATAAGTCTTCTTCAGCTACACCTTTTACCTTATCTCAGCCGCGCATGGTACGTGCACATGCATATTTTCACCCAAGACTGATGTAACACATAACACGTTTATTGGTTCTATTTTAAACTACACTTCTCTTAAAGAGGTGGCGTTTTAATGAAAAAATTGCATGTTTACATGTGACGGATGTGACGGGTTTCAAATAGGGGAATGTAACGCGTAGCTTAGTTGTTGATTACATTACTATTTACTAATCATATCTTTCACAATGATACGAAATCGCTACTTTTTAAAAAGAGAAACAGTAAATACAATATTAGCTTTATTATTCCATGAACTTAAATTTATGTTTGGTATAGAACACCACCTTCTCGAATTAAACATCAAAAAGAAAAAAGTCATATTTTATGAATGATTAAAGCCATTTGATTTATAACACTTTTTTCCCTTTATATTATAAGCTCAAGTGTTCTTTTTGACTCTTGAGGATAAAAATGGGACGGGGCCATGTATAAATGGTTGCTATGTTTTGTTTGGCCGCCCCCCCATTGCTCAAACTTTGATTCCACTAATTGGTAATAGTAGCCAATAAAGAAATTGCGGCTCTAAAAACATAGAATGTTTTCTGGGTTAGGTTGTTTTTGTTTTATATATAGAGTACATATTATTTTATAACTTTTGATGATTGTATTTTTCGGAGAATACTAGAAACCCTATATTTTATTCATCCCTGAAAAAAGCTTATAAAATTGTTCTGAACATATCATTAGAGTAATGTATAAGATTAAAAAAAAAAGTACCCTAATTGCATCGGGGATCCTAATTGGACTCGAGCACATTCTACAAATTTCAACGCTTTAGTTTCAAATTTTCATTGCATAAGGGATTGTTAGGAGCAATAGTCCCTGAATTATATCCCAATTTGCATATGTAATTTGTGAGTAATTGCACACACACTCGAAATTAATTTTAAATTTTATACATGATCAGAGTAACATAAAGGTTTTTTTTCTCATTACCCTTGAGAAAATGTTGATCATGAAATGCAAAACGTGACGCAACTATATCATATGTGTGGTATGTGTGTAGAATTGAAACGACCTTTTTTCTTCTTCTTTTTTTGTCTTTAACCAAATGAAATCTTCACAAAATTGGCAGAGGAGAAAATGATAGGGTCTTTAGGGTAAAAAATTAAATTTATCCACTGATGAAAGGATTAAAATTAACAGGAAAATGTGTTTATCATCCGTTCAGATTTTAAGATTTGTCCAAACAATGCTTTGCGTGTGGGTCCTCCAATGTCTAAATGCCATGATGAGTCCACCATCTCCAATTCTCCATGCCTCAGAACACATTCACATGCACACATGCAATTATATTCAACACAAATATAAATAAAAACTCGTGTGGGCTCTCGTGTGGTGCAATTAAAATGTGACACATCATAGGATAGGAAAAAATGAATATTTTCTTCCATTTCTCCATTTTTAGAGAGCATGACTGCACTCGTATAGATTTGATGTTATCTTATTTCATTTTTCCACCTGCTTTTATCGCTTGAGCAAATCTTAATCCTAGTTCTAATCGTGATATACAATTTATGTTATTCGCCTTTCTTTTTCTTTTCTTGTAAGTTATGATATAATAATCTTATGAGACCGTATAAACATTTTGATTCCCTCGGTTTATTGTTCATTAAATTTTACATCGAACGATCCACACGTTAACACGATACGAAAACCAAAAATCTTAACTTCTAACATGTGGACATGAGAAAACTAGCGAGGTCCAACTAGTCAAAGGGTACTCACAATTCCAATATGTTTCAAAGTTTGTTGTCAAAACGAGTAGCTTTTTTCGGTTTTGCTTCAAGTTGGGTGATTTGTTTAGAGTTTCCTTTTTCTAGTTTCGTTCGTGCAAGAACGCGGATTGGAGTTGTAAAGGGTGATTGATCATGATGTAAGATAAAGAAAAGAATCGACCTCTTTTGTCACTTGCTTTGCTTCAAAAAGATCTTTTGCATGTGATTAGAGCGATCGGTGCTGTGGGGCCCAGCGCTCCACATTCTCATAATTAGATCATAACATCAACTTATTCAAGATTAGTCCACATCATCAGAATAATTAATAAACAAAGGAAAGAAAAAAATTAAAAAAAAAATCATAACCACCGGTGATTCGATGAATGGTAAGAACAAAGCACTGCAAGGAAAATTTACTAAAATCATGAGATCAGAGAAATAATAACATCTTCCCCTTCACAAAGCAACCACTAAAATGATGGAGTATTACAGCTACAATTTGAAATGTATCAGGTTGAGCATTCTAAACCAACATCTGCTGATGATATCAAGAGAAACTAGATCAGCATGAAACTTTACAAGTTTAGAAGCACTTACAAAAGAAATGCTCATTCACATTTATTTATTTGTGATTCAATAAACATATCTTTTCTAGAGTTGGACTTAAGTTGGAGCTTCTTTTTAAACTAAATCAGCGACGAATTGAGGCGATTTCTTCAATAAGCTCTCGCATGTGAACATTTTTAACATACAACTACTTAGGTAATTTGGTTAGAACATAGTACTGCAATGATGGAGTAATACAGCAATAGGATTGAGCATTCTAAACGAACATCTGCTGATGATATTAAGAGAAACCAGATCAGCATGAAACTTTACAAGTTTAGAAGCATTTATCCTAAAGAGAGTAATTTTATATCACAAGACTATATCAAAAGGCACAAAGACAGGAGATGACAATTACGTGTTTGCTTTTTATGTTACCAAAAGAATGTAGTGCCAAGTTGAGAATAACTGACTCAGAAATCTCTCCGCATCTTCACTTTAATTGAAATTTCCTTGTATGACGTGATCTTCTCAGCTGCTCGTCGCAGTGGCCTTGTAGATGATCTTCGACATTCCTGACCTTCAGATCTTGGGGCACTGTATCCTTCATCCTCTTTTTCCACTGAAGAACACGTTGGACCATTTTCATGAACCACATTATCACATAGAGACACAGGAAATTTGTCGCCGTTGGTCTCAACCGAGTCTTCAGTTGCTTCCTGTTCTTCAGTTTTAAACCTTGCAGACTGCCTTGTCAAACGTCTATTAGGAAACCATAAAGAATTTGTAAATATAGTGAAAACCTACTGAAAATATACACTTGCTTAAAACAATCAAACATACACCAACAAACCTTTTGTTTTCAGGCTTCTCCTTAGCTTGGACTGCTTCAATAGTAGGAGTTTCTTTTTCTAGTAATGAACATGTTGGACCACTTTCATGAACCACGTTATCATGTAGAGGATAGACAGGAAATTTGTCGCCGTTGGTTTCAAACAATTCTTCAGTTGCATCCCGTTCTTCAGTTTTAAACCTCGCAGATTGCCTTGTCAAACGTCTATTAGGAAACCATAAAGAACTTGTAAATAAAGTGAAAACCTACTGAAAGTATATACTTGTTCAAAGCAATCAGACATACATCAACAAACCTTTTGTTGCCAGGCTTCTCTTTAGCTTGGATTGCTTCAATAGTAGGATCTTTTTTTTCCACTAATGAACATATTGGACCACTTTCATGAACCACATTATCACATAGAGGAGAGACAGGAACTTTTTCACCATTGGTCTCAAACAAATCTTCAGTTGCTTCCCGTTCTTCAGTTTTAAACCTTGCAGACTGCCTTCTCAAACGTCTATTATGAAACCATAAAGCATGTGTAAATAAAGTGAAATACCACTGAAAACTTGTACTTGCATAAAGTAATCAAAACATAAACAAACAAACCTTTTGTTGTCAGCCTTCTCTTTAACTTGGACTACTTCAACAGTAGGAGTGCCCAAAGCTGCATGCAAATAAATATGTGAAAAATGTTAGCACAGTATCAAGATCCCAGAAAACAATGAGACGCCAAGTTAGTATTTACGCAGATTGTTTGGTTGTCGTTCCCTTTTGGTACAAGACCCATTCTCCTTGTCTTCTTGCAAGGACTCCCCTGCCTCAGCATACTTAGCTGAATATACCTAAGGGTAGTGAAAGGAAATATGTAAACAATAAATAGGTCAATGAAAACTTTCAAAGTTTAATTAAGAAACCACACAGGCATCCACAAAGTACCTCATTTTCTGTATTTTGGCATGTTCCTCTTTTCTCTCTCTCCTAGGAACACGGGTTTACAATTCAATAACAAAGTCTATAACCTTACAAAACTGGCTAAAGTCTTAAGTAGATAAACTGACCTCAGCCTCCAGTTTTCTCACTTTGAGCAAACCATTTCTGCATGCAAGTTCGTGCTGGAGTGCCTTTAACTGAAAAGTAAAAATAGATCATTGTTACTTCATGCTAATTTACTTGAATTTAAAATAGAAAGTGAAGGCATACACTATTCAGACTTCATCAGTAGAAACATGACTTACCCTATCTTTACCTGAATTGAGTTCCTGCAAAATCGAAGTAGAAAACCAATTCTAAAATCAGTTGATGAAATTAAGAGGCATCTTGGTAGATTTGAATGATCAACAACTAAAATGTGCAAAAAGTACCCCTAACATCTGGCTATTTGCTTGGGCAAGTTGCAAGTTCTGTTGCTGTACTTTTTGCAGATTGATCCTAAAGCTCTGTAACTCTATTCTGCTCAATTCAATGATTTTGCTTCCAAATAGAATTAAGGAAACCGAAGAAGCAAAACATGCCAAACCAGATTAGGAATATCAATCAGAGAAATACACAATAAGTAAAATAGATAGCCAAGGATACTTTCTGTCAGCAAGAAGTTTCATCAGTGTCCCATTTTCCTGTGGATTTAGCAAAACCAAAGTAAGCTAAACCAACTACATCATCAACTTATTTAGATACAGGGATTATGAGAGATGCAACTAAGAATGTACCTTCTGTAGATTGTCAACATACTCTTTATTTGTAAGTGAGTCAAATTGCTGCTTCACCTGTTGGATTGCTGGTTTAGGCTGCTGATGCAGCAAGTTGCTTATATCAGCAAGCCTCTTCCTCGAGGTGCTTCCAATTGAAGATCCCTTCGCTATTTTCCCTCCTTTTATCTTGTTATCTACACCAAATACCTCTGTCATTTTCAGCAAAGCCTAACCTTGCAAAAAGCCCAATCCATAATTGGATACCATGAAATCAAAGAAGAAGTATACGAGAATTCCCAAATAATGGAAAGCTCCCCCGACTCAGTCAAGTAGCTACACTAGCTAGCTGCAGTTAAAAAAGTCTTCTTTTCCTACATTTTCTCAGTAATCAAACAGAACTTATCTCAAACTCCAACAAATTTCCACTAGATTCTACACAAATGAACCCTAGAAAACCTCGATAGCTCCAAACGATTCTCAGAACTTCAACAAATCCTAGCCCTATGAATCACAACCAGCACAAGAATTCGCGGTTGCAGTTTCACAAACCGTAACCCTCAAACATTAATTGTTAATCAAGAAATGAAGCTATACCGCAAAATCCAATGTTTATTCATGTTGATACACAAACACTAGCAGAAGATCGTTCTTCAAATAACCTCAAAAGGACTAAAACAAATACAAACAGCTCAAAGAAAATCATAATTGGAGAAATTTACCTCCGGCACCGCTTTCTGTGCCACGAACGATGAGACCTTCCATCGTGAAACCCGAGCTGAAGCCCTAATCTCTCTTTCTTTCTCTCTCTAAAATCTCATTTCCTGCGACTGTGAGATGTGATTGAAAAGAAACGCCGTCGTTGGACAGTATTGGAAATTGAATAAGGAGGGAACGAGAGACTGGGGGAAGGTTCAACTGGTAAATATGAGGAAGATTAAATTCGTAAATATGTTGTGATAGGCTCGGGACACCTACGGCTTTCCGAGCTAAGATCAGCCTCGGAGGACCAGAACTCAAATCAAATTGGGCCAATGGCCCAAAACAATCCCATTGGGCCCAACTCAATTCCATTTGTTAAGACCTAGCCCAAAAAAGAAAATACCCAATTCGTCAACCCAAATAAATAAAAAATGTGACAAGTATCATTGTATGTATAGGGAAGAGGTTTGCTTAGAACAGTTGTCCGCTATTTCTAGCGAAATGTTAATAGTTGATGCATGTCAACCTCATTCTGTGATTTGTATACCACTAAAGTTAGTATTAATAGTACTTAATGACAATGAGCAGATCTTTACTTGCGAAGAAAGCTTCTATGAGATCGTTCGCAGCGGGTTATTATATAGGAAAGAGGTTTGCTTAGAAATATCATTGTATGTGTAAAGTTAGTATTATACAAATATCATTGTTTTTCTAATGTAGGGAAGAGGTTTGCTTACAACACTCATCCATTATTTCTAGCCAACTGTTAATACTCGATGCATGGGAATCTTACTATTAATAGTACTTAATGATAATGAGCGAATCTTTTCTTGCGACGAAAGTTTCCTTGACATCGTCTGCAGCGGGTTATAATACTGAGGTGGTGAGTCTAATCACTTTAATTAAGAACATTATCTCATATCATTATTTCCCAATGACAACGAGGTGTGTTACGTAGGTACAATGGATGAGATGAGAGGAAAATGGGCAAGGCATACGTGACACATGGTTTTGGTCGTATAGTCTTACCGTGGGCCATGTAAGCCATAACTCAAAATTTGACTCTTGTGTGTTTTATCTTATGGCCAAAGTCGGGATAAAATTCAGATGTGTAAGTTTGATTCTTGTGGGCCCTACGCATGATACAACATATCACAAGCCTACATTTCTTTCTTTCCTCGTTGGTTTAGAATCTTTCCACTTCAAAAAGCCAAAGAATTCATCATAAAATGCTTCTATTCCCTTCTTTTTCTTTTTCTTTTTTCAACTTACAATTATCTAATTAATAACCAATCGGATGAAAGCTTTCTTGTTCCTCCTTTTCTTTTCTTTGATTTTTTTTTTTTTTTTTTTGTGTTTTATTATAATTTTGACTCGAAAAGCATTTTATTATCTCCTTATTTCATGTGAAAGAAAAAGCTTTATGAGTCATGCAAAAATTTGCAAAGCATGGAAACACGCCTAATTTTATTCGACTTTCTTCATGTTAACACAATGAATCGTACTTTTCTTCCTATCAAGACAAATAATACAAGTAGACGATTAAGCACAACTTGCACATTCTTGTTATCCCAAACGCAATTTGCAGGTCTCTTTCTCTAATGAAACCCAATTGGTATTCACACAATATAATAGACATTGTATAGATCAAGTTGGAGTACGTATCAAGATATATGTATACAAAGTTTTAACTTTGCACTTACAAAAAGAAATGTGCATTCCTCCCCTTATGGTCCTTCCCGTTTATTTATTTGTTATTTAATGACATATCGTTTTTAGAAGAGAATCTTACTCGTAACCGCACACTACTGTGACGATATTCCAAATCAATCACGTATTGTCATACATTTTAACTTTCCCACATGAGAGTACATGATTGACTTGGAATACCTTCACGATGATATCCCTTTGCACGAAAATTCTACTCCATTTCTAGACTTTGACTTAAGTTGGAGCTTTTTATTTATTTATATAACTTAAATAACATTAGGCGTGTAGCGTGTTTCCATGCTTTTGGGGCAAATTTTTTTTATGGTGCTTTAAAGGGTTTAGTATCAAGAACATCTTTGGCAGTGTTTAGTAGAAGGAATTAAAAGTGTTTATGGGTTATAAAACAAACACCTTCCATATGCTTATTGAAGAAGAAACCTTAAAGTATTTCCCAAACAAACCTTAAACATTATGTTTCTTCTTGAACATATATAGAGCTTCAGTTGAGGGATATCAATATAGGGCTCACTACGTAATATATTTTAATGATCCGAATTGTCTAGTTTTCAAGTCTTCACTTATAGATCATCATCTCAAAAATTTAGGCAAATTAAAAACCATTAAGGCATATAGTTGGAATCAACAAAATAGACGAACACGATGCTTCAACAAAAGGCTATAATAACAATAATCTAATTGAGTGGTTAAATAATTTCGGATTCAAGTGATTTTTTTTTTTTTTTTTTGCAGAAATAATCTTTGAGGGAATATATAACAACTAAACGATTTGAATTATTGAAATACAATACGTTATGAGCCCTACAAAAATATCTCTCAAATAAGCTATATATCCACCATGCAATGAGGCTGCATTTACTTGTCATTATTGACATAATTAACTTATCGTTAGTCCTACATTGATCACACGCATTTCACCATCAACTAATTGAGACAATTACTACATTCCAACGACTGTGAGTTTATAATAATTTCAAAAGCTTGCATTGTCATATGAACCAATAATATGAATGGCAATGAGTCAACATATACTGCCTACTACACTAGAGTACGTGACTTTATTAATGTCACATCCACATAACCCTTGTGTTTCAAATTACTATACTGTCATTAAGTTGAAGTTTTTCACATTTTATGAACATTTTGAATGAAACAATGCAAACTACTTAGACTATATTATTTATATATATACAGTTGTTCTCATATGCGGACGTCCGGATGTTATTACTGTTAGAACGTCGTTGTAAATATGGAAGAATACATGACGTCTGCAAGATATTAATAACGTTCGAACGTCTGTATAGGAGAAATATATTTTTAAAGGAGTGATAGAATTAATTTACATTTTTGTATAACACGATCGTGAATTCTTGGCTGGGGGTGAGGGCCTATGTAAGGGTAGCCTTCTTCGATCTATTAGATTGATCTTTATGCCAAGTTTAGTAAAGAGAAAAGCAGCTCCTAACTGATCACGGAAAACACGTACTAGACCTTGAAACTGAAATGCACCTAATTATTTTCAGTTTCACAACTTTCTTACTCCTGTATTTTGTATATTTTCCCGATATTAATAGTTCCGTAACACAACATATTAGATTGTCTGTCAAAACACATTTGCTTTGTTACAAAAATTGAAAATTAAAGCCAATCATTATACATTTCTTTCTTCATATCACAGTCACAGCCGATTTATTTGAAAAAATATCGAATTGTCTTGTCTCCATCATCTTTTGTTCATTTTTTCTGGAGAGGATTATACGACGGAAAACAAAATTTCTTGGTTTGTTTAATGTGGAAAAACAAAATGTTGAAAAGATATTCTTGTCTCCATCCTTTAATTAATGCAACGCTCACTTAACTTGACTCCTATCAATATATAATTTTTTCTTCATAAAATTATATTTTTAATTGTTTCTTTTGTTTACTTTTTTTTAATAGGAACTTTGATGTTGTTGCTGCTGCTAATTAATCACAGTTTCTGGTTGCAAAATTTATGAACTAGATTTTATCAGGATGGTTTTGAATGGATAGATACTTTACTATAAAGAAAGTTTTTTTTTTATTGTTTGTAAGTACATCCTATTTATGGGGCTTTAAATCAATGATCAAAATAAAAAATAAATATATAAATTGTTCATTTTTCAGAAATGATTATTCATTTAATTACTGATATCTTCTTTTTTCGATACAAGCGATACTGAGAGAGGGGGAAATTGAAACCTAAGACCTCAAATGCAACGGTAAATACTCTTAATTAGTTGAGTTATAAGCCCTTTGCATTGGTATCTTTGTTTTCGATGACCAAACAATTATGAGATATTACAAAGATAAATACCTAAAATATAGACGATTCCGATCCTTCAAATACATTATTAGGTAACCCCAAGAAAAATGTATGAACTTCTGTTAAAATAAGTACATCATCCGCATACAAAAATCCATACCACAAAATGGCTAAAGAAGATGAGCTGTAGTGTTTCGTCCTGGTAGAGCTATAATTGTGATGTGGGTAGCTAGCTGAATTGCTCACCTTCTTAAAATTTTCATTTGGCATTAAAAATTATATATATATTTTTTGCAAAATACTGCCTCTTGGGGTCCTCACAAGTGACAGCATATAATAATATCACACCTATTTATTTATGTGTGAACAATTATTTAGTCAAGGACAAAATTATATTAATTGCCGCTTTCTAGGGAAATATTTTATATCTAATAAAAAAATATAAACGAATATCACTCTACCGACCTAAATGCAAATTGCATTAACAAGTACAAATTAAACAATAGTAATATATTGCAGTAATAATTATTCACATATGCAACCCAGGATGCAGGGAAGGTCGGTCTTGTTTATGGAAATATAATATATATATATAGTGAAGTTTTATTGAGGGACATTTTTACTCTCTGTTTGGTTGAAAATTACATAAAATTCTAAAATGACGGAATTTAGATTTCATCATTTCAATTTATGGTAATTGAAATTTCAGTGTTTAGATTTATGTATGTCGAATTTTGTAAATGACATAATTTTATAAATGACACTATGAAAATTGTGAAATTGCGCCTATTTTGGTGGAAATTGAACTCCGAATTTGATACCTCAATTTTCACCATTTTTTCCTTGCTTCATTTAATAAATTCCGTGCTTAAGTTACCAAACAATGGAATTGTCAATTTTTCTTCTTAAATTTTTGACTTTTAGTTAAATTTCGAGTTATTTTCCCTCATATAAATGGAGGGTTATAGGGACCATAACACATTGTTTTTCAATGATCCGAACCGTGTAAGTTTTAGATATTCCCTCAAAGATTATATCTACAAAAAATCACTTGAATCTGAAACTATTTGACTACTCAATTAGATTTTTGTTAATTTATTTTGTTATTAGCAATTAGATGCCTTAATGATTTTCAATTTTTATGATGGTTTGCAAGGATGATTTATGAATGAAGACTTG